TAATAAATTATCTTTAATAACATATTTACAAATTATTTTGTCATCAATTTTACAATTAAAATTTCATCAATAATGCAACAAAAAAATGTAATAATAACCCACTATTAACACGATATTTGTAGATGTATTATTCGTATGTAGTATTTTCGAGTATATATTTGCTTTATAAAATTGTTGACTAAAAACTGTCGAAATATTATTTTAAATAATACACTTGTAATTAATATGTGATTTTTTACAGTGTATTATTTTAATGTTTATTGTTCATGCAAACATTTAGGTTACTCTTTTTGACAAGTAATATTATAAAATATCAATACAATATATTAAAAACGTTGTATTAAATATATTGTTACAAAAAAGCATAATCTGATAATGAATATTAACTGAATTACCAATAACATGAAACCGAAAAAAAAGATGAGATGGTCCAGTAAAGTAAATTCTCGGTATCATGTAAGCCCAATAAAATAGTTGGACGTAAGATAAATGAATTCTAGGTATTATTGTAATATATAAAATTAAATAACAAAATAAAAGTAATTTCTTGACTGTTGGTTGCATTTTTTATTTTTTTATACATTCGAGTTGTTACTGGTTTTTTGAATTCTCATACATTTAAAAACATGTTGTAGTTGATTAAACACAAAATGCATTATTAATAAATAAAACAGGCACATTAGATATTAATTATCAATTTCAAAAAATCACAACATTTAAATTTTCTCTATTGTCTCACAAAATCCAATAATATTTTAATAATAATGGTTAATTACCTCTTAGTAGTTTATATATTCGGTTTTCATAATATACTTATTTATACAGATATCAACATTTTCAATAACTAAAATGGTTGTAAAATTAAATCATATTAATTATATTCGAATCTAACAGTTTATGTTTGATGCCAAACTTTTAACAACAAAAAAGTTTGCAAGTTTTATAATTTTTTATTTTTTAAAACAATCTATTTTATGTTAATACACATAGGATTGAAATATATGCAGTTATAATCGAATCAAAATTAAATATTTTAATTGATCATTCCTGTTGTATATTGATATCATTGAAATGCATTTTAATATATTTTGAATAATTATACATTATTTATCTTTTAGTAAAAAGGTGTTTCCAATTATTCACACAACAAAGTTATCAACACAATTGAAATAATAAATCTATTAATAATAGATATACGTAATTGTTAATACAAATGTAATTGTTAAATTATTTTTTGGTTGAATAACGACTGTTAATGACATTGTTGTTTTCAAATATTGATTGTATTTTTATGTATTTGCCTTGGCAATTTGTTGAAACAAAAAACCAATTATAAACAACTGTTATCAATTCTATTGTGTAACTACTTCTATATCCTCAATTTTTGTTCAACAGTTTTTTGTTGATAATGATGTGCAAGCGAGATATTAGTCTAAATAATTTTTTAACAATCCTTTTATTATTTTTTTCAAATTACAACACAAAAAATGAACATGTATTTTTTGATAATACCACAACTATTATTAATTAAAATAAAAGAGTTTATTAATTATTAATTTTCAATAATTTGATAACAACAGTAAGTGTATTGAGTTTTATTGTTTATTGCTTCATTTGTGTATAAAAATGCCAAAAATATAAAAATTGTCAACTTTTTAGTTTGTAAAATGTAAAATCGAACTAAAAGTTTAAAGATAACAGTAAAAATTAAGAGAATATCACAATCTACACCAACTTTAGTTTTTTATTTTCAACTCAATCAAACGTGTACATAAGATATTAAATCATTTTTAGTAGTCTAAAGATTAACATAAATTTAAAAACTAAAGTTATGTATTTTTTAAAAACACAATACAATATTGTTGTTGATATGTTGTCAAAGAAATGTTTTTAAACAACAAATGTGTATTAAAGTTGAAATAAGTAATGAATTAACTTGCTTTTGTTTAAATGTCAAAATGTTTTTTTTACAAAAAATCAAGTTTAAATACATAAAAGTCATAATTTTGTGTTTATTAATTTCAATTTGTATGTAAAATATAAGCTGTTTTAAATGATATATTAATATACTATTTGTTGTACCTTATTTAAATATTACTGTCTCTAAAATGAAAAGGTATATTTATTGTTATGTTTTTGATGTTTAAACGAAGTAAAGTATAAACTTCTATTCATTTATGATTTGGAATAAATGGATTGTTACAATGTTTTTTATTTTTTTATTTGGTGTTTTTGTTGTTCATTAAAATACAAAATATGTAACAATCGTGTTTTTATTGATGTCATTATTCTCTAGCTGTTTGTATTTTATTATAAATTTGTCTAAATGTATTGTATCCAGAAAAAATTACAATACATTTATTTTAACCATAAAATCAAGAATTAAATATAAAATAATATAACAACAACTTTGTACACTAATAGATATCAACTTAATCATATACAGGTTGAGAGATAAATTGAAAAGTTTATAATATTAGTTTTTTAACATAGATGATTTTCAATATAAATAAAAATGTTGTTAATTGTGATGCATTTTTTATACCATGTTGTAAAATGACCATAACCTTTTATGTAGATAATACACGTAATATCATTTTATTCGATTTTATGTTTATAATTTATAAAGAATATTTAATTCAATTACTGAAATATTTTGTATGATAAGATTTCAATAAGAACATTATTGTTTAATTGTTAAATCGTGTCTGTTTTATAGTAATTTTAAAATTCATCACTCCATCGAATTGGTAACTGTTCTGTATACAATTAACTTGTACAAGAACAAACACGTATTGTACAATGTAATTCATTGAATAATAAACATTTTCATTAATTATCGTTAATTATTTACATTTTAAAGTGTTAGTTTGATATGTAAAATTGATAATGATATTAAAATGTTAAATAAAATTGTCGTTGAATAATATGTAAATTTTCGCTGTGTTAATTTTACAAGAAAATTCAATAAATAATTATATAATGTTAATTTATTTTTTCGTTAAATAAATTCAATTATGAGTCTGTTAATTTGACAAGAAAAATCGTTAAATGTTTTTAAAATGTTAATTGTTTTTTTCGTTAATTAATTTTTTTTTCGGTGTGTTAATAAAACAAGAAAAAATGTTAAATTTATTTTTTCGTTAAATTAATTTCTGTTCTTACTGTGTTAATAAAACATAAAAAACGATAATTATTTACAAATTGTTAATTTATCAAAAACAATTTGATAATAAATATTGAATCTTCTGGAATCACAATTCAATATTACCTAATGTCCCGATTCTTTACGTATTTCAAAAAATGGCTTTACCAAAAATGATTTTTTGCCGCAAAAAAACAGCCTCTTCAGTCTTTTTTTATGAAAATCAAATTTTTCCGAGGCATGTTAAAAAGAGAAACTTTTATTCGAAAAAACAATTTTCTATTTTTTTCCGTCTTATTTTATTGAACTTTTTCTTCAAAAAAGCATTTTTGCCCAAAATATTTTTTATTAAGAAAAAATGATTTGCATAAAAATCCCGAATGTTTAGCAAAAATGAAAAAAAATCCAATTCCGAATTTTGTTTTCCAGTTTATATAATAAATAGAAAAAAATCGATAATCAGGCGTTTCTAAAATAATTATTGCCGAAAATGTGGTATTATAACATATGAATTTATAAGAGAAAATGAACATTTTGGGTTTTATATGGTGACGTGTCTAATTAGCATCGGGATTTTGGAAACCTATGTCTATAATATTAAATATATTATATTTTATATTGTAAAATATAATTATTATTAATCAAAATAAAAAATATTTATCTAATAATAAAAAATACAAAAAATATAAAATTAAAAAAAAATAATTGTGAAACCAAACAATAATAAATAAAACCAAACTTATGTTTTTTTTATTCGGTTCGATACAATGATGTTTTAAATAAAAAAACAAATTTTGTTGTTGAGCTTGTGTCATCATAGTACACAATCAATTATTACTTGTTTGTTTATGGTATTGAAAATGAAGATTTAGCAAACACAAAAGATAGCACAATTGAAAGTTATCAAACAAATTATGTAGTCAATTCAACAATATTCAAAAATTTTAAACTTAATTTTAGCATTTTGAGACAGATGGGTTCAAATCAACAAAATTGAACTTAAAAAATAATCAAGTAAACACACAAAATGCCGTAATTATAAAAATGGGATTGTCATCCATTTAATCCACTTCATTGTGTTAAAATATACAACGTTTAGCAAGAAAAAGTTAATCTGCAAAACCGATAGAATTTATTATGTCGTAACTTACGATAAAGTTACACTTTTAAAATTTGATCACAAATAAAGTCGTCTTGATATTTTAATTGTAATTTTTTGTTCAGTTTTATGTTGATATGATATTTAATAAAAATATAAATTAATAATAAATGGTTGTTCATAATAAAACATAGTATATCATATCATTTTTTTTTCATTGACAATTTATAAGAAATCGAACTTATCGTCGAAAAATAAATTATGTTTGTTTTTTAATAAAATCATTTGATAATATTTTTTGTTAATTTTTTGGTTTACCATCTGACATAAAAACACTTTATTGATTTTAATTCAAAATATTTTATTTCTATCATTTCCCGCTACATAAATAAAAATCTTTATAATATTTTACTGTTTCAAAAACAAATTCAAATATACTATTTATATGGTTTATCTAAACTATATTTTTTAAATTTTCAATATAAATCGAAAAAATTACAAATCCAAAGGCAGATTGGACATGTAGAAACACGAAAAGTTTTAAATTTAGTTTCTCAAAGGAGAAATAAAATCAAATAGTTTTTGAATCCCCATTTATTAAAATAATTACTATAAAAATTTAATTCTTATAAACAAAATCACAAACAAATTTCCAACTGAATTACAAAAATGCTGAATAATTACAATAAAAACAATTAATTCAGGAGATTAAAAAAAAGAGCTTCAAATTCTCTGTTCAACTGAATTTTTCAAAATATGATACTACTCTTGTTACTAACAAGTGCACTGACTCGAGAAGTCAACGAAACGACTTTTAATGAGACAAGTAACTGTGGAGATGGTGTATGGGATGGGTATTACGAACAATGTGATGGTACCGCTGGGTGTACTTCTTCATGTTTGTGTGATACTGGCTACACTGCTGATGGCAAAGGAGGGTGTACCATGAGTTGTATATATGGCAGTGCATGTCTGACTGGATGCTTGAAACCCGACACTTGTGAGATGTGTAATGAGACATTGGGATATGCTGAGGATTGTCAAGGGTGTCAGAGCAAGTACATGTGGTATGGGGAAGGCAATTGTCAATTAATGCCGGACTTAAACGACGTCCTCTCCTGTGGAAAGTTCTTTGAAAAACTGAATGAGTTAACAAACGACACAATTAAGAATAGTTTCAGTGTAGAGATTGGTGGGGAGACAACCACTTTAGGTGCAGATGGTCTTTTAGTTGTTCCTAAACTGCCCGATGAGATTCGAACGAAGTTACAGATATGTAGATGTTCTCGATTGGTTGAACCAACGAAGCCATACACATATGGAGCGTGGATTAAATTGACTAGTAAGAAGAATCAATACGTCTCCATTGAATTGGACAACAAATATTCTCGAGAGGAATTGATCTTAGCTTCCACACAACAAAAGAAGGTCGGGAACTCAGCAGGAATGATTGTCCAAGAAGAGTGTCCTGAAACAACAGACATTGGCCAGTCCGTGTATTGTGTCTACAGAAATGGGGGGTACTCCAAATACGTCCAATCGCCGAGAATAATCACTTCAATGGAAGAAAATGCCGTGCAGTACATTTTTGTGCACGCAAAGTACGCTGCTGCGCCTCTTGATGAATTTAAAATTTATATCAACACTGTTGTCCACGCATGTTCGTCGAGTTATAGTGATGTTGAGTGGAATGAAATGACGAGCTCTTACTTTTCAACCACTTTAAATCTGCAATATTCCATTTTGTCGACGTCGGTGTGTTCAATTGACCTCGTGAAAGGGTTTTGGTTCAAAATCACAGGCGCCGACGAAACATTAGAATTTTCAACGTGCAACTCGACTTCAGAATATGATGTGAATTTGGACTTAATAAGAGTGAAAATGACGGAATACAATTTAAGTGATATATCGACGGACTTCTCTCAAATTGATTGTAACAATGAAAACAAGGCAGAGTGTATGAGAACACGAACTGATGGATGCCGTGATGGATCGCGTTTAGCACGAATGGTAGCAACATTAGACCACGATTACGTCTATTTCTTGTTTGTTGGGATCAATGAAGAGTACTCGGCTTCCGTCCAATTGGATATTAAAACGACTTGTCCACAGAGCTGTGGTGAGAATGGAATCTGTTCTGCATATTCCGGAAAATGGGAATGCAAAGACGGATTTGTCTTGAGAGACAACGTCTGCACACAATGTGGAAATGGTGTGTTAGATTCTAATGAAGACTGCGACTTATCTGTTCCGGGATATATAGACCCAAAATGTGACTCAACTTGTAATTGTAAATTTGGACATGAACCAAAAGAAATTGGAGGTGTCAAAAAATGCGCAGTACCAACGTGTGACAACAAGCAGATGGATGCTTATGAGCAGTGTGATGGGGGGTTTGGGTGTGATCATTGTGTTTGTTTATACTACTTATTTGTTAATAATTAACTATTATAATAAACTATATTACATTAGTTTATTATGTTCTAATTAATATATTATAATAAACTATACTACACGAGTCTGTAACTCACTGAATAGGTCTGTGTGAATGGCACACAGAAATTTGCAAAAGCACGATTTGATTGTATTGTTTCCACGTGTGGTAATAAGAAGTGGGACAAAGGAGAAGAATGTGATGGAGGAGATGGGTGTATAGAGTGTGAATGCCAACCCGATTGGTTTAGTCAAAATCAAGCTGATTGTACACGCCTGTCGTATTCATTAAGGAACTTTTTGTTCTGGGGTATTGGGTGTATAGTCTACTTGTTACTGTACTTGATGTTACTGTTTTTAATCAACATATTGTATGTTAAGTTGACACAAAAGATTAAGAAAGAGCTTGATGATGAGAAGATGGTGATCTTCGAGAACACAATTATTCCTTTTGATAAGACCAACTCGCAGTACATTGACCTTAAAACACCAAATCCATATTTTTCATTCTCATCTAATAACATCGACTTTGGTGACACGAGGCCTGAAATCAATGAACCAGTCAGTACTAAAATTATACTGAAAAACACGTGGAAGGAGAACATGCACTTTACTTTCCACTCTGGCGACTTTGTGAAGTACGAAATTATGTGTAAGCCATTTACGGGGACTGTCAGAAAGGACGAGTCACTCACTTTGGATATCACGTTCATGGCAAAGTGCACGACCATTTTGAATGAGAAAATTCCCATCACAATTCGATATGGACAACTTCAAAATGTTATTAAAGACATTAAGAAAGCGTGTCCGGAGTTGATCGCACACGCTTCACAGTCTTCGCAAAACTCCGAGAGTGATAACAAGTCAAAATCTTCAGGGACAAATGGGAGTAATGGAAATACTAATAGCTCAAACAAGAACAGTCGTCCAACAAACCCATCGAACCCATCTAATCCATCGAAAAGTACTCCCAGTGGTTCAGGTAAAAGTGACTCTGACGACTCAAGGAAGAATAAGAAAGGAAAGTCAAAAGTCACTAAATTCCACGTCTACTTGAACTTACAAGTCGAGTCTGCGTTGTCCACTAAACTCGATTATGAAGAAATTCACTTGCAACACCCCCCTATTGGAGGTGGAACATTTGGTATAGTCTACAGAGCTGAATGGAGACGAGTCGATGTCGCTGTTAAAGTCATGAAGACTGATTTGGTTGGTTTGGCTGAGTTGTTACCAAACTTCATGCAAGAGGCTGAGATGATGGAGCGTATCAGATGTCCATACATTGTCAACTTCATTGGAAGTGTAGTGACGACTGATACGTTGTGTTTAGTTACTGAATTCTGTCCATTTGCTTCTTTAAGAAAATTTATGAAGGTCAATGCTATGACTGAATTACTCAAAGTCCGATTCTGCCAAGACATTGCAAAGGGTATGGAGTACTTGCACCACAACGATATTTTACACAGAGATTTGAAGACAGACAATGTCTTGGTCTACTCGAAGAATCCCCACGACCCAATCACTGCTAAAGTCACCGATTTTGGTACTTCAAGATCATTCATTGAATCATCTGGGAAGATCGAATTGCAGAACATTGGTACTCCAGTCTACATGGCACCTGAAATTAATAAGAAGGATCAGATGACATTAAAGAGTGATGTCTACTCATTTGCTATTTGCATGTTGGAAATCTGGTTGGGAAGAGACCCATACGATCCAGCAAAATTCCCCGACTCAGAGTCTATTTTGAAGTTTGTCGGTGCGTCTAAAAGACTTGAAATTGCAGACGACTGTCTCTTTAAAGATATCATCCAACAAAGTTGGAAGAATAAACCAAATGAAAGACCATCATTTAAGGAAATTGGATCGGCGCTCGATACTATTCAGAAGAAATTGAACGACGCCTCAAAATCAGACTCAAAGAAAGAACACTCTGGTTCAACAGGAACTAATACTAAAGATAAGAGCGTTTCTTCTTCTGAAAAGAAAAATACAGTTGGCGATGGAACTAATACTAATACACAAGAAGAAAGCTTAGAGGCTTCGATGTCTTCACAATTTGCAGGCGGTGAGGAGGATTAATTCTTATTTTTTGATGTTGTGTTATTTGTATGGAAAATTAAATGATAATAATATTATTATCATGATAATTATTTTTATTAAATTAATAAATAAATAAATTAATAATTATTATTTATGTAAAAAATAATAAAATCGTTTAAAAATATCTTACTTCAAAAAATTGTAACAATTATCTAATTTAACATGTTACATATATCATGAAAATTTTTAAATAATTTTTGTAGAAATTATATTTTATTATTTACTCACCATAACAAAACTAAAAACACGAATATATTATAACTGCTTAGAATAATAACACTTTAATTCAATCAATGTTATTTTAACATAAAATTTGTTATGAATATATCTTATTGTATAAAAATGTTAATTAAATGGTTATATATTAGTTTATTTTAATCAAAGGGAGATGTCTTTTTTTGCGAGATTTTTTAAATTTTTTTTAATTGGTCTTTGTATAGTAAATCAATGGTTTAACAAGTTATAATTAATAAAAATAGAATATGAAATGACAGAAAACAGAAGAATCACAAATTTCAAAACTAAATCACATCAAAATTGTTATGTGACAGAACTATTTTGAAAAACGAGGAGGTATAAAAGGGAAGTGTAAGAACTGTAACACCAAATGCCACCAATTATCAACATAGACAACTGCACTGGATGCGGAGCTTGTGTCTCAGCGTGCCCACAAAATGTACTTGAGCTCAGAAACGACAAGTCATTTGTAGCAAGACCAGACGACTGCATTGAATGCCATGCATGTGAAGAGGCGTGTGGTTTTGATGCCGTCTCATTCCCTTAATCAATTTTTCACTCTAATTATTTATATGTGTTTCAATTATATTTTTATTAATGAAAAAATAATTTAAATCCAGTCAACACAGAAAGCGACATTCGAGTTCACATGTTTAATTTTTGAGAGATAGAAACTGTTTTGACACTTTTTACACCGATACAAATATTTATCACACACCGCACAATGCTCAGAAATGGAGACGCGTGGAACACACTGCGTGTTGTTTATAAGGGAATATTCATCGTCACACATCTCACACCCATAATTACAATAATACCAATAACGGCACATCATTTTAAGTGTGTTGTCTTCTCACATGAATACTTTTTATTGACAAAATAATTGGTGAAGCACTTTAAACACTCAAAATCACTCAAACACTTCGAACAAAAAACTGGAACACGAAAAATATGACCCATTCAAGAGAAAGTGGTCTGTCTCACAAACAACACAATGACTTATGTCGTTCAGTAAAGCTTATGGTCGGTGTAAGGAATCGTTAATTAAAATCAACAATAATTTTTTAACAATACAAATAAAAAAAAGTATTATAAAATGTAATTAAAACAACTAAAATAATTTAATATAAATTATTGAAACAATTATTAGTTATTTATTAATAATACAATACTATATAATAATGTAATCCCATAATTTATAATTAAAAATATAACTAAATTTATAAACATTACTAATTCAAATATCAAAGCGATGAAGTTTATAAAGTAAACCTGAATATTTATATGATGATGGTTGTCACGTATAAACTGAGCTTTTTTATAAAAATCATTGACCATTTTATAAAATAAAAATGTTTTTTTATATTTTATTGATCAATTTATAATATAACCAACCAAAAACAAAATTATAAAAATACAATAAATAGAATTAAACCACAAGTTGTATATAACTTTGTTGTGTTATTGAATAAACTCCAGTGACACCATTCAACATTGGTGCTTGTGTAGTTATAAGCAGATTTTCTGTTGGTTGTGATTGTAATAAGAACTCGCTTGGTATTTTAAATATTGACACTATAGAAAGTTGACTCATGTTATCTACATTAATTCCTTGTGTCACTGAATCGTCACCTAATTTGACAATTTTGTTACTCTAAGTCACAGAATTGGCATTCAAATTGATATTGTGTTCTCCTTCACTCAATCCAATGTAAATGTCGTTCTTCGTGCTTAACGACAACACTTTGTTCAACGCAATTTTCAATTCGAATAATTTTAAATGTTATGCCTACACATTTTGCAGCTCCCCGATTTTTATTAAATTTTCAGAAACTCTCAAAATTGCGTTTAAAATAAGTTTCTCATTGTTCAAAATGTTGTAAGTAAAAAATAAGAAAATAGTCACTCACAGTGACAAATTTCGTTGTCAAAGATCCATGTAGTGTCACTTCACTGTTAGCCGCAACTTCCATTCCATCTCAAAGAAAATAAAATTCAATAATAAATTAAAAATTTTAATTTTACACACATCGCATTCAACATTTTCTATAAGTGTTCTTACATTATTAAGATGATTTCTCTGAAATCGGCAATTCGATTGTACACGACATTCCCTTCCAAAATTAACGTGTGACTCTCTACCTCCCCAGCCTTCTCACATTCCTCGTAACTGTACTTTCCATTGAAAATGCACTCACTACTTATTAAGAAGTTTCTAACACAAATCGCAACTCTTCGAAAATTTCACAAGCAACTTTAATTCGTCGTACGAAAAACTTGGATCCTTTGAACTGCCAAAAACAGAATGTTGTTGTCGTCAAATCCAATTAATGGTGTTGGACTCGCACCAAAATTGCCAAAATGGTGTGAACGCCCACTTTCTGTCTTTTCGAGTGTCAAATTTGAAAAAGCGAAATTGCCAATAAAGACGATTTGTGTTGTTGGAAGAGTCACAATTTCACAGTTCGTTTCGATTTGTAACGTTTTCGTGCGCTTTTTGATATTAAAACTCCTCCAATGAGTCGCATCGTTTCCTTTAAAACCCACAAGTGGACTTTACTGGTAAACAGTACTACTAAATATACAGTTTATTATTTAATAATAATATAATAATTTATACTATTAAAAGTGGTAAAAAAACTAAAACAGTTTTATATCAGGAAAAACTGGTTTATTTATAATTTATTCATTAATAACAATCATAAAAAATTAATAATAAGTTTTTTATTTACTTTTTTAATTATTTTTATATTCATTGTCTTTTTGTTATACCAACCAGATTCACAAAGTCCACAAGTTTATATTTGAGAAAGTTATATCTCCAAATTTAAAATAAATCAATTTAAGTTACCAAAACCATTACCAATAGTTTGACAAAACGAATTTGTCATTTTGTCAAAAATGATACAACTTGATTGTAAAATATGCGATATATATAATATCATATATGGTTTAGTTATAATAATGTTTTGATTTACCAAAGTTAATAAATTACTCTTTTCCATTTTTTAGTTTTATTATAATTTAACGAATGAACAAACTGAATACTAATAACTAAACTACAATAATCATTATGTAAAAATAATTTCTACTGAAACTAATTTCTAGTTACAAAATAGTTACTTATAATTGGACAAACTTTCCTTAAACCTCAGGGAAAATTCATAAATTATTATACCTATATGTTCTATTTTTATATCATTTTTGTACTTTTTTCTATTAAATATTCTTATAATTAACTAGAATACTATAGTAATATGTGTTACTATAGTCTTATTATAGTCTTATTATAGTCATATTATAGTATTATTATGGTATTACTATAGTAATATGTATTACTTTAGAAAGACAACACATTAATTCAAAACAAAACTCCAAATCGCTTTTATACATACAACGATGATTTCATGGTTCAACATTTCGTTTTGTCGGTGAGTTATATGGGTGTTTAGTGTGGTTATAGCCCGTGTTAGTATTTTATTATTGAATATAGAATCGACTCATATTGTCTTCTGTAATAAGACAACAAGATATGTTTCTTTGGAGGAGTCGGGTTTGGCTGTTATTTGACGAAATATTCATCGACAGTAGTGTCACCATCGCGAATTAAATTGTTTGGCGAAATGTCTTTTAGTTAGCTTTTGTTGTTATTGGTGGGTGTTTTCGATCTGGCTTTTCATTGGGGCTCTCCACCTTCTAAAGAGAATTTTATTAGCAACAAATTTAATTTAAAGTGATCGATGTTATCAATATTGCCGTTGTTGTATTTTTCATATTGAATGTATTTTTTTGTTTTGATGCTTTGCCTAATTTATGGATTTTTACTTTCAATTCAGAACAGTAGAAAACGACAATTTGAAAAGACAGTTTTTTAAGTAAATAATATAAATAATAATATAGTATATATTATATATAAATTTAAATTAATATAAAGAACGAATGCTGTATCGACACAACAATTGACAAACACTATAGGTACTTGATGTGTCAATGTGAACAACAGTTTTTGGCTACAATTTGAATGTTTGAGTTGTGTAATAGTTGCATTATCGATTCAGAAGAAAATGAATACCACTCCATCATCTCTTCAATTGTGTGTTCGTTTCTTGTTTTTGGATTGTCATACTTGGCTGTAGTGACTGTGCCAATAACTTCAGTTTTTGTCAAAGTGCTTAATATCGAAATACCAACACAACAAAGTTATATACAACTTGTGGTTTAATTCTATTTATTGTATTTTTATAATTTTGTTTTTGGTTGGTTATATTATAAATTGATCAATAAAATATAAAAAAACATTTTTATTTTATAAAATGGTCAATGATTTTTATAAAAAAGCTCAGTTTATACGTGACAACCATCATCATATAAATATTCAGGTTTACTTTATAAACTTCATCGCTTTGATATTTGAATTAGTAATGTTTATAAATTTAGTTATATTTTTAATTATAAATTATGGGATTACATTATTATATAGTATTGTATTATTAATAAATAACTAATAATTGTTTCAATAATTTATATTAAATTATTTTAGTTGTTTTAATTACATTTTATAATACTTTTTTTTATTTGTATTGTTAAAAAATTATTGTTGATTTTAATTAACGATTCCTTACACCGACCATAAGCTTTACTGAACGACATAAGTCATTGTGTTGTTTGTGAGACAGACCACTTTCTCTTGAATGGGTCATATTTTTCGTGTTCCAGTTTTTTGTTCGAAGTGTTTGAGTGAT